CCACCACCACCACATCATCATCACCACCACCACCACCACCACCACATCATCATCATCATCATCATCATCATCATCATCATCATCACATACCTAAACATAACACCACAAAACCATCTCCTGGGTCAAACAGATCCTTTCTCACTAGACTTGATATCTCCAGTAGTTGTCGTACCAGTGGCTTTTCTGAGGTGTTGGGACATAGGGAATGAGAGGCTTGGGCTCTTCTTTCTTGGGATCTCCTAGGACAGCCATGCCTTGATTTGATGTATTTCTATGATAGTTCTTTCCATAGTGCTGAATGCTAAGTGTCCTGAAAGAAGAAGAAGGTATCCTGTGAACAAAGCCTCCCTCTTAGACTAGACCAGTGGAAACTGGCTCTGGTTTCTTCCTGCTGCTATCAAATATAGCAAGATTTGCTCTGGCTAAAGTAAAGGAAATAATAATAATTCTACAGTTGTGTTTGTTTGCTTGCTCTTTAGAAGCCAAAAAAGAACAACGCAGTAGAGATGGGCACTAAAGAGAGGGAACTGGAAAAGAAGGGCTGTGATGTTTGGTGGCCTTCCACCTTGCTAGGGTGTCCACAATTTACACAGCTCAGCTAGAACTATGCTTAGAATCTTGTCTCAGTAACACCCATACCACTGTCTGGAAGCTGAGCGCCACAAAGCACTCTGACTGGAGTAGGAAGCCAGAGTACGCAAGGCCTGTCCAAGACTGTTACTGTTTCTGAGAACCACTCTGAAAGCCTTGCAGCAGGCACCTAGCTTGCGTGTGATAGGAGCCTTCCTAGCAAGTTCCTAGAATGTTCTTAGAGTGAGCTGACCATGGAACTCCATGGCCAAGCATGAGAGTGAAGTGAGCTGCTGCGTCTGTGCTGCTACTCACGTCTGTGTGTCCCACACTGGTTCTTCACCACAATTCAAGCCCCAGTTGGCATTTCAGCCGGCCCCAGCTCCTCTTCGCCCGCCCCAGGTTCTGTATTACTGTTAGAACATGAGCTAGGTGTCTGTGACCCAGCATTTCACAAAGGCTCAGTGATTAAGGAGGACTAAGAAGCGGCCCAGAGAGCGTCAGTAGTGCTCACGAATTGTTTGTGACCCTTTCGAACCTGCTTCTGGCTGATTTCACTGCCTCAAGCCCAAACATTCCAGCCGTTTGTATAACAACCACTTTCCCTCATTTTTCTGCTTAGGCCCAGCATGCTCTACACTCTACCTTCCCCAGCTTTAGTGGCCTTTCCTAGTAAACCTGGTTGAGGTTGGTGTGCTAGCAAACAATGAACCCGAGGCATGACTCCTGCCTCTCTCGTGTTATGTCACCCTCTGCTCTCTCTGCCATGCCCCACTGGTCTGGGTGCAGAGTCTTTGAGAGGAAGTCACACATGCCAGCATGCCCTCACGGGGGCTTTCATTCTCACCATCTCCTGTGGACTTCCTGTTGAAGCTATTTTGAATATTTTCCAGATCAGGGTGTATCTTTTGAGTGCCGAGGGCCATTGAGAGTGGAGCAAAGCAGAGACCACCCAGTCGTTGCCATCCGGACCAGCCTCACATTTTTCTGTTGTCAACAGCTGGTTTCTGCTTTGTGTGCTCACCAACTTTCACTTTAATACAATGCCTAACAAGGTCAGGCTCCCATGCCATTGTGCTTTGAACTATGTCTAGAGGTGGATGGAGGCAGCACACGCAGCTCACCTGCCCAGGGTGAGAGTGGGCACATGGGTAGAATGGGGAACTGTGGAGCTGCACAGGCTTGAGGAGGGAAGCCAGGAGACTATGGGAGTGGTCACGGTGAGGAGGCAGGAGGATGAAGTGGAGTCAGGTCCCCTAAGACCTTGCCTGCATTGTTAAAGCATTTGGACAGTGTCCCTTGGTGCCATTGGGAGTGAAATTCTGGGTTGACTAGACTTTGAAGTAGTTCTGGGACATATTGACAGTTCTTGAGTTTTTCTGACCACAAGAATGACACCTGAGAGATCCTGTGTGCTTGGATGACTCTGGAAAGGGAACCAGGATGTGGCCCAGAGGGAAATGAAGTACTTAAGAGCTGCTCCTTTGCTGAGCAGTGGAGGGGGAAGTCAGGTCCTCCCAGCTGAGCTGCGGCAGTTCAACTCAAAATCTGGCAGAATCAATGTGCTCTGTTCAGAAATAATCCTAATTAGAGGTGACTTCTAACTCTCTCTCTTACACACACACACACACACACACACACACACACACACGCACGCACGCACGCACGCACGCACGCACGCACGCGCACATGCACCCACGCTCTTGCTTCCTTCCTTATCCTTGACTGTGTAATTTGGTGGTACACTCCTTTAACTGATTTTGATTTTGGAGCTGTGCCACGTTTTCTACTGGCACACCAAGTAGTCGCCTCTCCTCTCTGTGCTATTGTTTGTTTGAATTCCTCTTCTTCCCCATGGTCTTGCTTTGTTGTCAATATATTCTGTTCATCCTGAAGAACTGTGCTCAGAGGCCATAGAGAGCTGGTACCACACCTCTTCCTCAGCCTGACAGAGAGGATCTTGCTAACCAGCACATCCCTCACATCCTTTCCTGATGCCTTATTAATATATTTGTGTTAGCACATCACTTTCTTCTTTCTGTTGTCTCAGTTCTGGTTTCTACCACAAAATGCTGAATGGCTCAGACAACAGGCGTTTATTTGCCACAGTTCTAGGGACATCCAGGAAAACACGTCTGTAACTGGGGTTTTCTCCAGTCCCACTCGGGCCCCGCAGTTCTGCAACCTGCTTATAAAATAATCACTCAGAAGCTCATATTAATTAAAATTGCACAGCCATTAGCTCAGACTAACTATTGACTAGCTCTTACATCTTGAATTAACCCATTTCTATTATTCTATGAGTTGCCACGTGGCTCGTGGCTTACTGGTGCCTTACGTCTTGTTTCTCATGGCGCAGCGGCAGGCAGCATCTCCGATTCAGCTTCCTGTTCCCAGAATTCTCCTCTCTGTTTGTCCCACCTATACTTCCTGCCTGGCTACTGGCCAATCAGTATACTTTATTTATTAACCAATCAGAGTAACATATATTTACAGCATACAGGACATCCCACAGCAAACGTCAGCACATTCAGTGACTGGCATGGGCCCGTTCTCCTTCAGACAGCCTCTTAATAGCTATGGCCACCCAAGATAGAAGGGACCAGGAAGCTCTCTGTGGCCTCTTGTATAAGGGCACCAAGTCTACCCTGACCCCTGACATAATAACTTTAGAAATGCCAACACATTAAAGGTAAGGTTGAAGGTTATGGTGTCATGAAGCTGGGGAACACAAAACCCAGATCATGTTTCCTCACTTAAGAGTCTAACACAATGACATCTGCACATCAATATGGGCAGGTTTTACAGGTTAAAAAAATACACTTTAAAAAATATACTATTATTTTAAAAAACAAAACATTGCCATGGGGCTGAAGAGATGGCTCAGCAGTTAAGACCACATACTTTTCTTACAGAGGCCCCAAGTTCAGTTCCCAGCACTTATGATGAAAAATAAAATCTTTTTTAAAGTTGCCATCATTAGAGAAGTCGGGGGCATATTTTAGAAAGGACTTGAGGGTGAGTTTATCACTATCTTAAAAACTTGAACAATCAGAGTAATGCACATGAAAGGATCTCAGAAACTCAAAGGTTCTTTAGTTTTTCTTGATGTCCAACCATGATAGCTTACCTAAAATACAAACCTGAGCCCATTCTTTTTGCAGATTGCTGAGGGCATGGCATACATCGAGCGGAAGAACTACATTCATCGCGACCTTCGAGCAGCTAACGTCCTGGTCTCTGATTCACTCATGTGCAAAATTGCAGATTTTGGCCTTGCAAGAGTAATCGAAGACAATGAGTACACAGCGAGGGAAGGTGTGTAGACTGGGTTATAGAGGCCGTGTGTATGCAAGTATACAGTGTTCGTTCAGCACCTTCACCCTGACGCCCTCTTCTCTCGATCCCCATCCCACCATAGGCAGAGTAGCCAATACTATATGATTAGATGGTCTGGTGAGGAGAGAAAATGTACTGTCTACATATCTGATGGAAGGTTAATATCTACAATACACAAAGAACTAAAAAAAACTATATAACAAGAAATATTTAATTATTTTCTTACTGTCTTGTTTCATTTTTGTTTTTGTTTTTTAAAATAAAGCATTTACCAAAAAAAATAATAAGAAAACATCATTTTGAAAAACTGGTACGCTATTATCTGGTACACTATTGAAGTTGTCCCATAATTGTAGTTTACTTTTTAAGTAGTTCTCTCTTGGCTAATGCCACTTAACACTTTAACAAGGCTTATAAACAGTAGCATCAGCCTTTCTTCGTTGTTTTTGAGACAAGGGGTGTGTGTGTTTTACTTTTTGGTACTGGGGGGTTTAGGGTCTCATGCTTGCAAGGCTAGTTAGTGCTCTACCACTGAGTTGCAGCCAGGTCTTGTGTAACCCAGGCTGGCCTCAAACTGTAAAACCTGCTACCTCAGCCTCCCAAGTGCCAGTGTGTGTACCACACTCCCAGCCTTGTATTTCAGTTAATCAAATTTGACAAACTAAATTTGTCAAAATTGAGATTCTTTGCTTACTTTGTAAGGCAAATTTCCTCCCTCAACAATAAAGTACGTGTGCTTCCTTGAACCGCAGCAATGCTTGTAACACATTCTATGCTGCAGAGCACAGATGAGGCCTCAGAGGTTCTGCAGCCCCAGAGAGCCCTCTGTAAGGAGCTGAGCCTCAGAGTACATGAGTGAGAACTGAGTCTACTGGGTGTGTTAACACAAACAAGCATTGAGTCTTTGAAAAACAACTGTTCTGCAAATACTATGGGCATGCTGATCTGGGGTCTGTGTTACATACTGGGCACAAAGACTGTATGGGACTTACTAAGATTACACCAGACGAAGAGGAGTAACCTAGAGACGGTCCCAGCCTCTCTTCCTCCCTCCCTCCATGCACCACTGCTCTAGGTTGTCGAGGGATGATTCCGGAATTAATGATGCTGCCCAGCACACACAGGTGCCACACAACTCTCTTTATTGTTCTTGTAGGGACTTCCAGTTTTTATAAGACACTGCAGAAGAAACCTCATGCAAAGACATAGTAAAGGCAATGTTTTCAAGTAATGGCTACAAACTCCTAGCAGTTCCTAGTCTATGCCAGGTCTTACTTTCCTCAAGGGACCCTATTTGTTTCCCTAGCTGCATCTGCCTATTCTTAATCCCTCAGCCTCACCAGCAACTCATAGGAACCTCATTCCATCACAGTCTCATTCTAAGTAGATAACCGTGCTCAGTTCTCAATGGAAGTTGTCAATGGAAGAAGGGAATAGGCCATTTGGAGCAGCATCTGTGATTGCTTGGGCACAAGCTTAGAATTATTTGTCCACAAAAGTATATACATTAATATATATATATATATATATATGTATATATATGTATATATTCTGGGTGTGGGTATAGTTCAGTGTTGAGTGTGTATTTAGCATGCATGAGGACCTGGGTCTGATCCCCAGGACTAAAAATTAAATAGGTAAATTTAAATGAAATAAAAGATCTATCCATGCAAACATAGAATGAATTCATTAAGGAAAAATCTAAACTGTTTTGTGGGAAAGGGTCGGTGAGGACATTTTTGTTACGTTTGTTTGGTTTAGTGTTTTGAGATGGAGTCCTACTTGGTTATCCAGGTTGGTTTTAAACTCCTAAGATCAAGAGATCCTTCCATCTCAGCTGGAACTGCAGGTGCACACCAGCATGCTTGACTCTAGATAAAATGTCTACGCTGAAGATCAATGCTAAAGAGTCTGGTTTGAAAGGCAAACATACACACTAAGTAAAAAATCTTTACAGTGTGTGTCATAGCCTTTTGTGTTTGAAGTTAGGCCAGTTACAGTGCCCTCTAGAGGTTCCAGAAGAAAGTGTACTTCTAAAGAAGGGAGGGCCCAAAGGAAAACACAAGAGGGAGGTGAACATATCTGAATGACATTTGACACCATGTCCATTTTGATTGTGCACCAAATAAATAACTTTATTCCAAATAAATAACTTGACTTTTTAAAAACTCAGAGGAGAGAATGACCCATGACCTTTTAGCTTGAGCTCTGAGTAAGAGCCTGTGTCTCCCTCCCCAGGTGCTAAGTTCCCCATCAAGTGGACGGCTCCAGAGGCCATCAACTTTGGCTGCTTCACTATCAAGTCTGACGTGTGGTCTTTTGGAATTCTCCTGTATGAAATCGTCACCTATGGGAAAATTCCCTACCCAGGTATTGCTTACCTACTTCCCACTCAAGTGTTCTGTGTGAAGGAAGAATTAAGCAGCCTAAAGACATTTACAAAGTAAAATAGCGCCATCTACCCCAAATCCAGTGCTTCCAACAAGTTTGGAGTCCTTATCTTTTGTGAAAATCTTTCTGAAAGATGTGTAGCTGCTTCTTGACCTTTATCTTACTCTCCCTTCCCCAAGTCCGACACTTACTTACTACTTTGTCGGCATTTGGCACTGCTCTGGGTGCTTAAATGAGACCCATTAGGCACTGATGCTCCTCCTCCAAGGCAGGGCTCCAGGTGGAACAGAATGTACAAGAAACCAGGGTCTTCAACATCTTCTGCTTGTTGTGAGACCTGAACAGGGTGGGAGGGTCCCTTTCTTCAGGAGAACTCTTCTGATCTTAACTTAGGGTATCACTGAGGACATCATTCAATATCTACACCTGAATCCCACTGTTCTACCTGGTCTGTCCTCCTTCAGAGTCTGTATTGATATGAAGGAGAGTCCTTCTCAAATTCCCAATTTCTCATTAGTGTTTAGCTGGAAGTTTTTCTGTGTCCTACTTGGTCTGCAATCGCTCATGCCCAAGTAAACACACAAAGGTTTATATTAATTAAAACTACTCAGCCATTAGCTCAGGCTAACTACTGACTAGCTTTTACACTTAAACTCAGCCCATTTCAGTTAATCTATATGTCGCCATGTGTTCCGTGGCTTTACCTGTGCACCATTACATGCTGCTCCCTGGACGGCAGGCTGGAGTCTACTGACTCAGCCTTCCTGTTGCCAGAATTCTCTTCTCTGCTTAACCTGCCTATACTTCCTGTCTGGATACCAGCCAATCAGCATTTTATTTATCAACCAATCAAAGCAACATAGATTCACAGCATACAGAACATCCCACAGCATTAGTGTCTTTCAGTAATAACTGTGTGAATAAGATGAATTTAAAGTTAAGTTTTTAGTGCCTGGAGAGCAGACTTAGCAGTTCAGAGCACTGGCTGCTCTTCCACAGGACCTGGGTTTGACTCCCAGTACACACAGCTCACAACTATCTATAGCTCCAGTCCCCAGGGATCCAACACTTTGGCCTCAGGAGCTTGCTGCCACGTGGTGAGGAACTTGTATGGCTAAATGCATGGTGGAAAGTGGAAGGGCAAGCAGGCTCATGCAGAATGAACTAAGTGGAGAGAATGGCCTTACTTCCTATAAACTCTCTCCTGGTGACTAATGTGGGCCCTCAAGAGCAAGCATTGGTTCCTGTGAGGAAGGCATCCATCTTGCTTACCAACCTAGCCTTCTTCTACAGAGCCCACTTCATGATACTTTCAGAATACCATTCAGAATACCACTCAGCGTGAGCGCCAGGGGGACGCACCATACCCAGCCCAAGCACTGCTTGCAGCACTAACATGGGCACAGGCAGAAGGGCTCTGGGTACCGTGCTATCTGTGACCACTGAGTTCTCCTGCCTTTGTCAGGTGTGTGACCCTCACTTGCCAGGGTGTGTGTGTCAGGATGGGCCAGCATGCCGCTGCTGCTCTCTTCTAGGCACTTTGCTTGCACTTTCTGTCCCTTGGCTCAGGTCATCTCTGCCTCTCTCTGGCTGCCAGATGTCTCTGAGCTTCATCAAAGGTGGAGTCTACGTTTCTATTTCTCGTTCTCTTTTTCACTATTGTTTGTTTTGGGGTGAATTATAGGGAAATGGGAGGGGAGGAAAAGAGCCTCATTTTTTGTCTTAAAACCAAACTTATGGTTATGTTTCGATATGTTTTTTATGAAGATAAGAGAGGGCTCTCTGCACATGGCCCTTCACTTTGCTTTACTCTTATAAAGACATTAGGCTTGAAAATGACACAAGGTCTTTGCGTCATTTGTGTGATGTCATCATGTCACCTCTGGCTTTTTCCAACCATGTGTGAACCCAAATTTTAAAATCCATCCTACTGTGACTGTCTGCTTGATCTTAAATGATATTAGAAAAGACAATTCTCCTTCTTGCTGGGTCCCTCTGCTGTCATCAACCCGCAATTTCTTCTCTAATCTCTGTACACACCTTCCTCTTTTTCATGCGCTTTGACCAGCTTGGAGTTGCTGCTAATTGCTGCTCTCTAGATATCATCTCCCCTGTCCCCAAGTGAGAGCATCTTTCCCTCGGGGCTCTCCGTCACCTATGGACAGCTCTCCATGTCAACCATCTCTCTGCACCCCTCAGAACTTAGTGCTATCTCATGACCCATGGTAATTAGTAGCAAGCACTATGGAAAGAATGAAGGATGTGGCATGAAAGGCTGGAGGCCTCCAGCCAACGGACATTTGCATTCTTTAGTCTAGCCACAGGCTAAGTAGCAACTGTGAACTTAGGGTGCAGTGGAGGTCTGCCTCTCATCTCCATTCTTCTACAAGTCTTGCCGTATCATTGCTTGCTTTATGTGTTGGTTCACTCAAGCATAAAAAGATGGGTTTCAGGTTCTTCTTTCTTCTCTTATCAAAACAGGCTTCCCAGGCAGGGTGGAATGTGCTGTCCTTGGTCTGGAGCATTAAGGATGCTCTGCAGAGTTAAGAGAACATGATAGAATAAGGAAGAGAACATCTGCAGGGAGTTCAGGAGACCCTAAAGCATTTTATCTTCTGTGGGCATCTGACCTTTTATGTAACAAAGGATTCTTCAGGAAGGAAGTGAAAGAGATATTCCTTCTGCCAAGCTTGCAACCTCATTGCTATTTACATCATCCCGAGTGCCACCTCTCTCCCGCTAGCACCCTAGAACTTTAAGCAGAAGGAAAACCAGACATGTCTTCAGAAATGGACCCAATGGTCAGAGTCATGTAATTTTGTGGAGTCCCAAGTTCCAATTACAGAAAGTGATGCCTACCTGCTCATTGGCTGGGCAGCAAGAACTGGAAATCTTCTACTCAGAGGACTCCAGGAGACAGATAGAAAAGTGGCATTTCATGGGTAGACTTGAGGAAAATTAATTCCCCAGGTAAACAACTTGCAAGAGATACAAATGGAGGAAAGGGACTGGAAAGATGACTCAGCAGTTAAGAGCACTGACTGCTTTTCCAGAGTCCCAGGGTTCAATTCCCAGCACCCATGTGGTAGCTCACAACTGTCTGTAACTCCAGACCCAGGGAATTTGATATGCTCCTTTGGCCTTGTCAGGCACTACATACATGAGATACCACAGACACACACTTGGGCAAAACACCCATACACATAATAAATGAAATTTTAGAAAAGAGATACAAACTGTTACAAAGCTTATTTGATTCTTTCCATTTAGAGACCAGGGCTCCTGCAACGCAGGAGCAATCACTCTTTCAGAGGTTTACATCAGGAGAGGCTCCTTAGCCCCTCTGTTCTATGAGGGAAAGCCAGTGAAGGGCTGCGGGCTCTCAAAGTATGAGATGTGTGCAAGATATTTTTAATTTTTTAGGTGCTAAAAAGAATCTGCCCTACCAAAGGGGAAACTGAGGGTGAATATTGGGCTGATATGGTTAATATAAAAGGTCAGCCAAGTATATATGTATATATGTGCATGCATGTGAATGTGAGGGAGTTATTTACAGGTGTGCAAGTGCATGTGTGTATATGAGTGCAGGAACACATGTCTACACATGCTTGTAGAGGTCAGAGGGCAACATTGGGGGTCATTCTTCAGTGCTGTCTACTTGAGACAGAGTCTCTCACTCAGCCTGGAATTCACCAAGTAGGCTAGGCTGACAGGCTAGTAAGCCCCAGAGATCTGCTAGTCTTGCCCCCACTGCCCTCCATCCCAGATTCCCCCAGAGTTTGGATTACACATGTGTACCACTTGCTTGATTTTTTAGGTGGACTCTCAGGGTCTAATTCAGGTCATGATGCCTATGTACTATGCCTGAGTTTGCTTTTGCAAATTGATGCCTTCTTGACACACATACTCAAAGAACATACCTATGGAGTTGCCTGCAGAGTTCCTCCTCTGTCTTAATTTGCTGAGAAAGGCATACCAAACACTGTGCACCAGGTGACTTAAAGCAGCAGAAATTCCACACTGTTGTGGATCCTGAAGAATCTAAAAAGTCAAGAGCTGGGAAAGTGAATTTCATCTGAGGTCTCTCTCCTTGGACAGTAGATGGCTGTCTGGTCCAGTTGGCATTATGTGGACTTCTGTGTATCCGTGATTTCATCACCTCTTCTTGGAATGATCCAGGTCACATTGGATCCACATAAGACCCACCTACAAGGCTCATTTTAATTTAATCATCTCTGTATGGGCCTTAACTTCAATTACTGCCCCAATCTGGGGAAGTGAACATACTCTAACCCACATGTAGATTCAAGGCAGCTCTTTTCAGTCCTAGTTACAGGATGCCAATTGTGCTCTGCCATTGGTCTGGGCCTCTAAACTCAACATGGCTGCTTTTGTTTGTTTTTGCCTTAGGGAGAACCAACGCCGACGTGATGAGTGCACTTTCGCAGGGCTACCGGATGCCACGCATGGAAAACTGCCCAGATGAGCTCTATGACATCATGAAAATGTGTTGGAAGGAAAAAGCAGAGGAGAGGCCAACGTTTGACTACTTACAGAGCGTCCTGGATGATTTCTATACCGCCACGGAAGGGCAGTATCAGCAGCAGCCATAGCGGGCACAAAGAAAAAGCAGCCTTGGGGCGCAGCTCATCATCTCACGCCAGGATCCTCCGTGTTCCTGGTTCCTGACAGACAGGCCGAATTAACTCAGGAAGAACACCCTAGACTTGGGATGCTGTTTCTTAAATGGGTGGCCACTGCTCAGTGGGACCAGAGTCAAAATACAATACTCTCTCCAATATGCACCACACTGGCTCTACATGGGCCGAGTGACTCAGCTTCAGAGACTGTTGCAACAAATTCCTAGATGCAGCAAGAACTAAACTCACTTAGCAAAAATAACCCCATGCACAAGAAGATATTCCCTGACCTTCTGGATGCTTCTGCTTACTTTTTTAAAAACTACTAATCCAGCCTGTTAGGTTTTACACGTGAAGCCACTAGCTTTAAAATGTCTTTTCTAAACTTGAATGTTTTTGCTTTGGAGATTTAATTCCTCCCCACCTCCATCCCCAGCACCCCCTCACCCCCACCCCCACCCCACCCCCACTCCAGTCTGAGACTGTTAAACACATGCCTTTGTGGTGAGATGACTGGACAGGAGGTAGGGCGCGCTAGCCCTGCAGGAAGGAGCATGGTGTGTGAGCACGCAGATCGACCACTGCTGAATGGAGCCTTTTGGAGCCACACCACCTCCCAGACCTCCCAGGGAAGGCACGAGAGCCTTGGGTTCTGCCCTATGGAGGAATGTTTTTAACGGTGTGGGTATTTCAGTCACAGGATTCTCTAAAGGCTTTTTTGACAGGGTCCTTTGGGAGAACTGTAAATCTAATCTGTCTGGACTTTACAAGGCCTTCAAAAATGTAAAGCATTTCTTTCATTGCCTCAGACGACTTGAACATTTTATGAATCATATGTTTTACCTGCACTCTAAGAAGTTAAAAATGCCATGTTTGGGGCTATTTTTGTGATCCTGCAATCTTTTCTAAATTGCGTAAGATGTGTGAGAGACTATTGACAGCTCCAGGTAGGATGGAGGTGACCATGGAGAAGCCTCCAGCAGACCTGAGCAGCTTTGTCACCTGGATTTTCTGCTGTCAACTCCGAGTGTGCCACTGTGTCTGCGCCTTTCACTTATGCGATTGTGTACATACTTAGTAATTCTATTTTTGATTTTATTTTAATACACCCAATAACGTCTCGAGGCTTCTGTCTTGTGTTTCAGATTTTCAACCCTTGTTAGTGTATAAACAAGAGCCAATTGGTGGAGAAAGGGGAAGAAGTCACTCTGTACAGTCACGTGCTGTGAGTTTGTGGTTCTCCATGGCTGGAGCATTGCAGGCTGGAGGACTGAGGAGGTGATGGCCTGGTGGGTGCCCAGCAGTCTGTTTTCCACAGGCTTTGCAGACACCATTAAAATTGTAATTTGTATATTGATTTTAGCTAGATGCTTAGGAGAATGAATTGAATATTCTAATTTTCCTTAAACTTTAATTTGTCTTTTTCCTGATTTTTAAAATAATATCCTTCCAAAGCATTCTTGAGCCCTTCATTTCCAAGTGCCCCACTTATAAACACTGCGTGTGCATATTTGGTCACTTGACGTACAATAGCAGGTTCTCTCACACCTTCCCTACACACACTCACACACACTCATTTCAGAGCTCACCGGTGTTGTCCAAGCTATTTCATGGAAAGGAAGTGCAAAGAGTCCTCAAGCTAAAGAAAGCTCTACAAAGTTGCTAAGAATGAATTTGTCTTACTTCTCTCAATTCTGCTTCCATTTTCCACCTGGCATCTCTCCTCCATCATGTGTTGATCCTTTCCTCCACATGCTCACTTCATGAGGAGCTGGCAGGTGTACTGGGCAGAAGCTGGGGACATGGGGCAGTGGGTAGAGTGCTTGCTAAGCACTTCTGTCCAAGGATGGCATTCAAATCCCAGACCCTTGTAGAAGTAAGGCATTGTCTGCAATTGCAGCGTTCCTGCTGGGAGGTGGGAGTGAGAGACGGTAGAGTCCCTAGAAGCTGAAAGTCCAGCTAGCCTGGGATATACCTCAACAAACTAGAGACCCTGACTAAGATAAAAAGTGAAGACCAGGACCTGGCCTTTCCCCGGCCCATACACATATGCACACACATCCATAGTATAATGTACACACACACACACACACACACACACACACACACACACACACACACACA